TGTATACTACATACAGGGTGTTCCGTAAAGGGTGTAAGAGCCGAAAATGGCAGATAGGGAGGGTCTTCCTGAACAACAATTTCCTTTGGCAAAATGCAGAATGGGGCTTGGTTACCGAGTTATTAACAAAAAACACGGACCAATCAGAGCGCTCGGTCTACGCGGGCTCCGACTCGGGAGCGTTGGCCCGGATCCGATCCCGAGCCGGAGCCAACGCTCCCGAGTCGGAGCCCGCGTAGACCGAGCGCTCTGATTGGTCCGTGTTTTTTGTTAATAACTCGGTAACCAAGCCCCATTCTGCATTTTGCCAAAGGAAATTGTTGTTCAGGAAGACCCTCCCTATCTGCCATTTTCGGCTCTTACACCCTTTACGGAACACCCTGTATGTATGTATCACAGTTCTCGACGTTAAAACGTACGAACGAACTTCGTGAGGTGTCGTTCACCTTTACCGTTATAGGTAAAAAAAAAGAGTATTATACGGTTTCTCGAAATACACGAAATGTAACTACATCGGAAGTTTGTTCCTTACAAAATGCACAATCGTACTAGAACTGTTGTAATTTTTTAGACACTTTACGTGTCATAAATTCAAGAAGTAGTTCATACCTTTTTTTATTAATACTCAATAACTGTTTTTGATTCGAATCAGTATTTCTATCAAAAGTGAGCATACCTTTTACTTATACTTCTTTGACCTACTTTTGCATTGAATACTGCTACTATTACTATGAGAGAAGACCGAGATGAATCAGAATCCTACGATTGATTTTAATGACCGAATTCACTGTTTGGTAACAGTTACGTCAAGTTACGTGACACAGAATTGTGTAACGACGATGCGGACTCGAGAAAGGGGAGCTCGATGATGAGGTAGCTGGAAATTTTCAGACCATTACTGACCGAAGTCTTTAACTCGACATAAAGACATAGAATCTGATACAATATATGATGTGTCGTAGTAAATCGAATTGGATTTCCATACATTTCTCTCTGTTTTTCTAATATTGTTGTTATTACATTTTATGAATTCAATTATTATCAATTTTCCACGCTACGTAAGCGAGTGATATAACAAACATGATAAGTGATATAACACAAAAGAAAGTAATATCTCATTGCAGGGCATCAAGGGACAAATAACTTGTTAATATTTTCCTGAATACTTAGAACTACTAATAGGACAAATTATAATTGTCAAACTATCGAATATTTTCTGTGCATGCAATGATCTCACGTTTATGGAATTAAACACGCCTCTCATTAAGTCATTATGCAATATCTTAACGAAAGTGAAGATCTGATCTCTGCTAGAAGCGACCTTCCGGAGGTCGAGCGACGACGAAAGACTTTACTCGATTGTGCGAAACTTTCGCAACTAGAAATACAGTGAAACTTTATTTATTGATTTTTTATTTACCATTAAATTTTAGTTACCATCTATATACTTACTTCCAATGGAATCCATTTATATGAACATCTATTAGGTCAGATCTTATTTAACGTTTATCTCACGGTATCAATGATTCTATTAAAATATTAAAGGTATCCCAAATAGGATAACAGATTATGCATCAAAATTAAATTTTAGTTCAATACATATAGCTCATGTAATAAAGTATTTTAGATAAATTGCTTAAAAACAGTTTCAATATTTTATAAAACAAGATAAGTTTCATTTGAAATTTTGGGGATGAGCTGTAGTCGGAGACGCTCTGTATAAAATTCATACAAGTATACCACGTAAAATAATAAAATATCCAATAAACTGTTCGATATCGTAACGCGATTATATAAATGGGCGTAAAATACCTTAAACTGCAGATTGCTGTAAGCTTGGGAAACAATTCGCGCGCGATTTCGTTTCCATTGAGGATGCAGTGTTGCGAAAAGCCTACGCATGAGACTTCTAACAGTTTAGACTACCATGAATCGCAAATTCAATTCTGATTCTTGGTGTCCCGAACCGGATATGTGCTATTCGGGATTTCTGAGCTTTGAAATGCGGACATGGTAAGTACACGCAATCAGCTAAACGTTTATGGAATGTGAGTCGATTGAACGTAGGATTGCGTGAAACCAAAATTGGTTTCTGCAGCCTATTTTTAAAGAGTATCTTGTAAGAATCTCAGAAATTGTATCTTGGATTTTATATTTATGATACATGTGTCACGTGTCGTAATTAATTTAGGTTTTAGTCGTAAACTAATTAAAAAACTAATTTGAAGAGGGGGCCTCCAGAGTCTCGTTGTGACTAAAATGATTAAAGAGAATCTTTGTATTAAAAATGTTACTTATTACTCTGGAAAAATTGATTATTATTTAATAATAAAATACGTAAGAGATTTCAATTTAATTATATTTAATAAATAATGTGAAATTATTAATAAAATGAATGCAGAATAAAAATTCTACACAAAATAATACGTTAGAGAATTCTATTTAAATGTAAGACATAAAAACTCTTCTGCCACCACGTTTTCCCTGCGACGCAATCGCCCAAAGAACAAGCAAATAAAAACCGGGATAGTCGTTAGGATAAGGAGATTCGTTTCTCGCCTTGTCTCGGGGGAGCAGTTAGGTAACAAGGAACGCGAAACCGTGGAAGGTGATTCCGAAGTCGCAGTGTTCGTTGTTCAGTCTGGCGGCAGTGCTCAAACCGACACCGTCACTTTTCATTTCGCGGCCCTCGCGTCCGTCGCATATCATGTCGCATCCTCGTGGTAAACGGACACGGTGAACCCTAGTTAACCTTTGTGAACTATCTGTGATGTGATTTCCGAAGTGTCTTTGTATATTTTTAATCACCATCATCATGAAGTCATTGTAAGTAAAATTTACAAAATTAAGTTAATAAAAATTAATGTATTTATATCAGAGTCTTTGACAAAATTCAATTGTGAAATCCATAGCTAGGATTTGACTAATTATTATACTTTATTATAAACTCTTCTGAGTTTGAATGTGAAATTGATCATTTTTGTTCATTCTCGTTTTTCTTTATTACTTTGACTAAAGTTAAGTTTAATTGATAAATTATAACAGAAAACTGAAAGCAAATGAAACAAAAAATATTGGAAGGGATTACAACAGAACAGGAATCATAAAGTGGAGAGAATTCTGAATTATTTATCGTCATTTAACTTCACATATTTTACTCGGAATGTTTCTTTTTCATTGAATGATTTATTACAGATGATCATTTTCTAGCAGTTTTTAGAGAAGCATCCTGTTGCATGTTTATAGTGAAAGTTGCATAATGGCAATCATCGTCGAAAGGTCGTCTCGTTTCTCTAATACAAATGCCATGACACGATCTTTGCGAAAGATCCTTTAACGAGAGTTAAGATCAATTTGATTATACATACCGATTATCAATCTCGTTGCGCAACTTTTATTGCTTCGTGTGATTTACTTAAGTAGGACATAACATAGGAGATTAGAAAACAATGAAATAGTCGAGATTCTCTAGCGATGAAAGTTCATTGAATAATCAATTAAATCCATTAGTTAAAGCAAGTTTCATTTTTGAAGAAAAATTAAATAGATTATAAAATGTAGAGATTTTCCACTTAATTAAAGTATAACACTTGTAGCAGTGTAATATTATTAAATTTCTAATGGTGTAAACTGTAACATATTATCAGAATCCTATTGATTGGTAGGTGTTTCATTACCTAGACACGTAAAGTGGCATGTCAACACTTTTATTCATTGCTGAAGATAGTCGGGCTATAAAAAATGCGACCCGTCACTGACATAACGTTTCTGATCTTTATCGTTATTATGTAACGTGCATAAAAAGGTAATGTAGACCAAAGCATGAAAGAAATGTGGAAGATAGTGGTACGAAAAAACTGCTTCCTCCTTCACAATGCAAAAAAACATTTTGATGGAATTCCTATGCGGCGAATAAATGTATTGTTAAAAATATTTAAAGAATCGATAGATTAATATAATCAGATTAATTTCATATTGTAAATAAATCTCAGATAACTTTTCCTTTAAAATCATTCGAATAAAAGAGATCTCTTTTATTATTTAGGCATTGTATATATTTTAATATTTTATATATTTTTATGTATCACAAGCAGGCATGCGTATTGAGCAAACATGTGTGTTTATATGTATTTTCCTTTACATTTCCCCATAAATGGATAAATTTAATAATAAGTTAATTAAGAAATAATATTGTACCCATATCTGCTGTCATCGTCTAAACGAAATCGAGGATAACCTCTTAAGGAACTCATCCTTATTGCTCCTTCACCAAAATAATCCCATTAACGACTGCCACATGTATTCCTAATGACTTTTGAACGATATCACGGTGAATCAGCCGGAAAGGGTGAAGAGAACACCCACACTGATAATTTTGTACAAAACACTACCGTCATTATTGCGAATAATGCGAACCGTGCCACTAGAGGTAAATATTTTTCGATATTCGATTGTTTGTCAAGAAATCTTCAAAAATATGTTATGGTAAAAAATTATTCGAATTTATGTAATTTCAAACCTTGATCAGTCATCGCAATATAATTATGTTCACGAATTAAAACGCAATGAACGTGGAAGTACTGACTATGCTTTCAGTGATCTATTAAACAATTATAAGAAAATCAGTTCCCTATACAATAAATGAAGCTTGGTCTTAACAAAAACTATTATTACCCCCATTACTATTTAATAACTACTAATACCGTAATATATATGTAGCTGTAACAATACAATTTATTTATATTAATGCAACGTAAGTCTAATCTGTTTTATGGTAAAATTGTGCACAGATTCAAGCGTATAATCTGTTTGCAATGAAAGATGTGTACGGAGAAAAGGTAAACATTCGTTTTACCAGACTCCACCTGTAATACACTCTCACTTCTTAGCGTAAGTGGTCACACCAGTTTGACAATGAGGAGCAATATAATTATACAGGAAAAGGAAGCGCGACATTCCGCAACTCGCGGTAGTGGTTCTCTATCATGCAACCATCGTGCGACTTCTCCTTTAATTAGCTCATTGAAAGCGGAACCACGTGAAATAATCCAATTTGCTTAGCGTTGCGCCAACGATACGAAATCAGCCACTACTTACATGCTCTACAAAAAATTAACATTCTCATCTGAGGATATGAAGAAAAATATTTTCTCCATGCTTTCTGAACATAATTTATATCAATACTCTGTATTTGTTTTTACACTAAATTCTATATAAATATTTTAATAATCTATTTAATTATCTAAAATGAGAATACTTTATAATACTTGTTACTAACGTAAAATAATAATCTCCACTAAGTATTTAAACACGTATACTGAAATTATTACCAAACAGTTTGGAACGCTTGCGGCCCACTAACAGTAAACGATAAACGAAGGAACGTAATTAATAAAACAGCGCGCGATCTGCAAAACTTGTTCCGCTGTTACAGTGGAAAGTCTTGTAGAAGAAAGCTTGTCTAGCAACTGTTAGGAATTAAGTGCCAAGGTTTCATACATTCTGCTAATCGCTTCCTTGATTTCGGAACAAGTCGAACAACCTTGATCGTTAGCCGAACTCAGTCCTCTTAATTCATAAATCTGTTAACTAAATGACGTAGGATAGACGAGTGTGAAATTTTATAAAAAAATATTCATTGGTCTCATAGGTTCAGAAACTGAATTTTGATTACATTACAGGAGTTAATTCATTCAGAGCGATCAAATAATTGTTTCAAATCACTGTTTTGAGAAGCTGACTCGTCCTGTACATGGATAAGATATTGAGCTATTGAAACTACTTAACTATCCATAAGTTTGACAAGCGAAAGCATTTGACCGTCCAGCAAAAGATAAAATTTAAATGTGAATCGTAGACGGAGGTTGATCTAACTACAAACCAGTATGCAAAGTCGAGACTGTAAAGAAGAAAAAAGAGGAAAGTGTTTTTGCTTTCAGTTTACAACACTTGTCCAAGTCATTCTTATTCCGTGCGCGTGTCGTTATCTCTCCCTGAGTCCTGCCACCAGGGACAATGCCATTGCCATAGTGAAACAGTGAAAGTATGGTCATTTTGTTTCTGTCGCTCCTTTTTGCTCTTACTATCCCGTACCCTCGATCTTGACACGCGTAGGCCAAAGTATTAACACAAGACTACGTTTTCACGATCGCGATCACAATTTCCTAGCTCCTTGTCCATTGTCACAGATGAAGGACAACAAAACTGTTTGCAGATTTCTGAACAAAGCATATTCTAATTTTGCATAATTTTCCTGTTATATTTTAAGTCACATTCCGTACTGGCTCACTCCGTACGTTAATAATTTATTTCAACATTGCGTAGAAACTAATTAATTTTTTCAGCTTGTCACGGGATTTGTTAATGGTTATTTGTTTCGCGTCGGTGCTCCACGTGGAGTCGACGATCATACCACCGCCGTGGGCAGACCCAGCCAGCAATCCCTGCGCTGCTCAACCACGTGGATGGCAATTGTTATTTTGGCCGCCGGATGGAAAGTGTTACAAAATATTCCAGGCAGGTGCTGCATTTCTCTTTGCGTAGACGTTCTCGATGAAACGCACATTAGAGAATCAACCTCTCTTTCTTTGGATCATGAAACAGGGATCATGAAATTTCTAACGAAAAATTTCGTTTCATAGGTAGGTGCACCGTGTCCGGACACGATGGAATTGGGACCAGCCGCAGGTGGCGGTGGGACCGTGGCCGAGTGCAGGTGTCCACCGGGAACCGCTCAATCGCCGAGGGACGCTCTTTGCCACAGGATATATACGAGAGCATCCTGTTCCAAAGGACAATTCTTTGCACCAGTCTCAGAGACTTCTGGGAAGTCCAGGTACATGATTCTTATCCAAAAAGTGTGTACAGGATAACTAATTTGGGAGTACCCACACATTAATGAAGATACAAAATAAATTCAATTCAATTGCGATTCATAAAAAGCTCTAATGAAATTTATGAAACATTTGGAACATCATTGGCTTCTTAGTTGTATAATAGAATCAATTTGAAATAAACAACTAACAATGTATTCAAAGGTGGGGTGTCTGCCACGATCCAGAGCCATGCGCGAAGGGCGAGCTCTATTGGCCCAGAGATGGGAAGTGTTACCCAAAATTTAGTAAAGGTCCCTGTCCGAAGGGCGAACTGCTTACCACAGACGAAGACGAATTAGCAACATGTTCCTGTTCCGCGCAAGGCGAACTTGGAGGATATCATTGGCCGGGTAACCCAGGCAGCTGCCACGAGCATTATACTAAGGGCCCGTGCACGGAACCTGGTGAACTGTTTTTACCAGGCAGTGTTTGCGGTTGTCACTCAAAACTACCTCATTATCATGAGCCAACTAGGATGTGCTATCAATTAGGTAAGACACACTGTCTAAACAATGCAGAAAAGGAGATTTTCCAAAAAATTGTATAAAACTTTGAAATATGCATATATGTATAAGCAATATAAACTCTCATAGACATTATTAACAAATGATGTATGTGTAAACAGGTGGTATTGGCCCGTGTCCGCAAGGGCATCACTTTGTGATAACGAACACAGTAACCACGGAAGACGTTCCGAAGGCGAGATGCGTGTGCAAACCAGGCCACGTTCTCTACGAAAATGGATTATGTTATAGGCTGTACACAAGAGGACCCTGCGAGACCGGGTACATGCTTGCAAACTCCAGCTGCATTTCTGTGCCCTGCAAGCGGGGACGATTATACTTCCCACAAGAGAAGACGTGTTACAAGATAGGGACCAAGGGACCATGTCCGAGTGGGCAAATCGTTTTGTACGATTACAACGTGCGACCCTCCATCGACGGAATCAGTTACAACGGAGTTTGTGGATGCACGAACACGTTGAGGAATTCTGGGAAGTGTTCTGATGAGTCTGACGAAGGCTGCGAATCCACACCGGGAATGGTGGAGATAAACAAAACTTGTTACAAATTGTACACGCAGGGTCCATGTACTTCCGGAGAATGGCTGGTCGCGAAAAGGTTACCGAAACAAGGTTTATGGAAGACTCAGGGATCGGAGTCGAGAGCGAGATGTGAGTGCAGGCCCGGATATAAGAGGATTGCGATGACCGAACTGGAGAGCAACAATCTTCTTTCGCCGAGTGGTTGTCAACCGCCCGCAGTGAGTTTGGCTAAGTTTCTCAACGAAAGGCCGAAAGCAATAAACTTTTAAATAACGTATAATGCTGTGACTGTACATATTGTAGAAATTTCTTTATCGTATACCGCCAATAATCTCGTGTAAGAATTCCTATTTATTGAATACTCTATAAATGTATAAGTGCGATCTTATTAATCTAATTCCAGCATTTAATATTTAAATATTTAAATGTAAAAAAACCAATGTTTGTAAATATATGAATTATAACGATACTTTAAAATATAATGATTGTGTTCCTAAGAATTGAGCTGCTGATGTATATTAAATTTTATAAATATGGTTAGTACTCACTCATTTTTGTGTTGTAACTCGCGTATCTGCTGCTCGCTTCCTACCACTTGTTGCTCCTTTAATATTATTTCCCGTTCCATCGTTGCAATCCTTTCCGTTTTCTCGTCCAACACCATCTGAGAACAATCATTAATAATTAATACTAATTATAGCAATCTTTCCCCTAAATTTTAAATAATATAGTCAATGTTACTTACTAGTAATTGATCTTTTTCATGATCCAAGTGTGTCATATTCCCTTTAAGATTATTAATATCCTGTTGCAATTCTTTCACTTGATTCTCTAGCTGCAACTGCTGCCGCTCCAACGCCCGATTGTGGTCTAAGGCTTTATTTAATTCAGACTCTGATTGTGTTAATTGGTTCTGAGCATCTCCCAATGCCTGATCCGTTTGATCTTGCAGAGCCCTAATACATTTATTGATTATGTGTATAAAAATATGCATACATTATACTGTAAAGCAAAAATTTTTTCCTAAAGCACTTCGTTCCATTTGAATTATTTTATTTAACTATTTTATTAAACGCGTAAGATTAAGAGCAATCAAAAAATAAAATAGCTATTGCGTATTTCAATTGTTAAAATAAGAAGTACCGTAGTTGGAAATATTGTGTGCGCTGGGTTCCTAATTCTTGTTTCGTTCGCCTTAACTCCTCTCGTAAGTCTTCCACTTGATCTTCCAGCCCATTTATGGTCGCTCTTCGCGCCCCTTGGGTAAGTAAAAGCTCTTGCCGTTCTTTCTCTATCTGTTTCAGTCGTGATTCAACGTTTGTCAGATTCTCTCTCAAACGACGCTGTTCAGACGTGTGCGCTTCCGCCGCTATCTAATTCAAATTAAAAAATATAATAAATTCCATCTACAGTGAATGCCAAAATTGTTGGTACTGCGAACATTTGTATGCCAATAATTTTAGGATTCAGTATATGTTAGTAAAATCATTTTAATAGGATTGATTCAGTACAAAGAATATTTATCCCTTTATAAAAACAATTGAATTACCTTCAATCTCTCGCGTAATGCATCGCGCTCTTCAATCAAACGTTGGACGTCAGCTCGAGCGATATCTCGTTCGTGTTCCAAACGTTCAATGACATTCTAAAAAATATATAATATATTTTCCAAATTGTAAAACTACAATTATTGCTTAATTTTATTTTGCACGTTTTATGTAATTTCTACCTTCATTCTGCTACCATCCTTTAAAGACGAAGGTGAACAGTTGCATACACCAACACGTTTACACACATTGCAAGGTCGACAAGGTGCTTTGTGTTCGGATTTATAAGCTTGTAAACGCGTTTCCAAATTTGTTTTCTCACGGTATAATTCCTTCTTCTCTCGCTGTAATTGTTCCAACGCATTTTCTTTCTCATTTAATTCGCATTTCAATTCTCGGATTTGTGACCATGAATCAATCTATTTTCAAAAGAAGAAATAGTAATTATCGGAAGGTTTTACTTCTTTCTTATAATTTAATTGAAATAAGAATTACGTGATCATTTCCAATCGTTTTACAATAATCATCCTTCACACGATTATACTCATTTTTATAAAAGTCTCGTTCACTTCTCAACTGTTCAACCGCTCTATGTAACTAGTACAATAAATCAATTTTATATAATCACTCCTACCTAACGTACATACAATTAATGTTTGTTGCATATACGTACATCGTCCAGTTTCGTTTCTTTCTCATCTAATTGTTTTAGAATTCTGTTGTATCCAGTATCGTTTACTTTTTGCATTCCATTTTGTCCTGATAATTACCCACAATTTTATATTTGAAGTTTCGACTTAAAAAATATGTTACCTTTGTTGTATTCTTTTTTCTCTCTGGTATCTTTTAAGCTTGATCCATTGCTGTCAAGCAACGTCTCCTTCACATTCAATTGCTCTGTTAGAAGTTTATTGGTGTACTGCAAGTGAATAACATCTTGTTTTTGCTGCTCATTCTCCTTAATCAATCTTTCAATATCGTCGTTCAAACTTTTTTCTGTATAAAAATTATTTATCACTTATAACAAATAATTTAATGAGATCAGTATCAATTGTATAAAATATTCCATGTACCCATTACTGTCAATTCGTTTATTCTATTAGTAATCTGTTTCTTTTCGTCCAACGCAGATTCTAAATTGCGTTGAATATTCAGTTTCTCCAATCTACAAGTTTCTAAGTCTGCTCTTAATTCCTGCACTTCTCTACGTTCATTAGTTAATTCGTTTTCCAGTACGTGGACCCGGGCCATCACATTTTCTAGTTTCTCCTGCAACTTGGACACTCTTCTATTGTTTTCTTTAACCGCAGAGTTACAGTCGGCTTCCACAGCCAATGCTATGTGATCTATATCTCTCAGTTCCTTTTCCAATTCTTCGTTTCGATCGGCAAGTTTTAACGCTTGAGTCATAGCATCGTGTTGTTTATTTAAGGCTTCTGTATAAAACGTAATTTAAGATACTATATAAAATAAGAATTTTTCTTCTGTATACACTATTTCTTCCGATTAGATACTTAATATTACCTTTCAACTGTTGTTCCAATTCTAATTTCTCCTGTTGTAAAATTTTTAATTCATCAGCATGCACATCGTGACTGGACATCATAAAATCTGCTTTTCTACAAGCACAATCTTTAACGACTGCTGAATACGGTCTGCCTCCTTCTAACATATTCTTTAGTCTTAAGATTTCTTTCTCCTTAGTAGTCAACTACAAGTACAATTCCACAATTTATTTACAAGTACTCATTTGTATTAACACGTTTAAACTGTAGCAAATGCTTTACTGTATTTATTGTCAGTATCACACATTACGACTTGTTAGTAAGTGGTATTAACATTATTTCTACCATTGTTATGCATTGTATAAATGTAAGCAAAGGCAAACCACAAATTCATGCAGATATAATTGACAATAAATGTACCTGATTTTTTAATATTTCTACATTGTCGATTTGTAAGGAAAGATCCCCATTTAATTTTGTTACCTCATGAGTCAAACAATTCAGTTTATGATCTGCCATGCTTAACAAATCAACAATTTTTGGTTCCACTGTACTCAAATTTGGTAAGGGAGTTTTAGCTCCTATTCTTGGTAATGGTTCACTTTCTAAAACTGGTCTTCGAAGCGGAAACACAGGACGTTTCTTAGAAGCTGAAAGAATGACATGATATTTCTAATTACTTAATGTTTTGAAGATATAAATAAAAAAGTTATTTTCTAAATACATCAGAAGTTACCTAGACCAACGTTACTGATTGTTGGCTTCAAACATTTCCCTTGAAGTTCCAAGATTCTTTTTGATTTCTTAGCAGATTCTACCTCCAGCTCCTTGATTCTATATAAATTCCGAGAAGATGCCAACTGAAGATCATTGCATTCACGCTCTAATTTATGTATTTCTTTCTTGAGATCCTTGATTTGCTTCTGATGGCTTTCCCTTTCTTTCAACAAATCTGAGTTAAGCTGGTTACATTCTTGCACTAGCCTTACATTGTCGCATTTATAAGGATCAATTGCTGATTGTAACCGAACTTGTGCCTATACATACACACAATAGAAACATTAAAACACATAAATATACAATACAATTTACATCTACAGAATTTGCTTTGCTATCATTCTAAAATCATATTCACGTTTAATTAATTTATACAATATCAATAGTATATTGATTGTTTTACACAAAGGGTGTTTTAAAGATACGCGTGAAGTGAGACGGTCAAACATAAATAGTATTTCACAACACGAACCTCAATATTATCTTGAGCAATACTTTTAAAATGCTTTAAACTTTCAGTTGTTTGTACTAGATCAGCCAACAACTTTTCTATCAGGGGAAGTGCATCCAGTGTAAGTGCTTGTTTGTACCCTAAGCTGTCCAAATGTTTTCGGATAGTTCTATACCTTGCAGCTACATTATATTCGTCTTCCATGCTCATTTTTATAAATTTCACAAATAATTTTCTTTTTATAATGTTCCGTAAAATCGGAGTAAAAGTTTATTTATACTAGTAAAACCAGAGAGAAAATCTATCTTAGTTTCTCTTAAGATCTACTTAAGCAGTAAGTACACATTTTATGATATAAATTCATTTGTACAAAATTTTATTTTCAAATTGCTTTTTAATATATTAATTACACATATTTTAAAATATCTGTATTAGGTTTTATAATTGACTGGAATATAACCAATAAGGTAAAATAGTTTTATCATATTAACACTGATCTCGACAAAACCGTATGCTTCTAAAACATTCGTTTATTCCATGTACACAGTATTTTCCATTATTACTTATGGTTGACACAAATTACTCTGTTAATTATTGCATTTTGTATGGAACAAAAAATGCGTCACACTAGTATAAACATTATTCAAAAGTATTGCCAACGTCGATAACAGAAAACTGTATTTACACATTGCAACTTTTCCAGTACGCACGCCCCAAAAATCCCACGATGTATCCAACACTGCTGTGCACACGAGCTGCGCGCGTCACTTGTTTACTTATAATTGAAGTATATGTCTTGATCTTGCAGAATGCCGAGCTCTGCAGAATCAGAAGAATCAGATCAGAAGTGCAGAAGCTCGCATGCAATTCGCATGCTGCTGATCTCTTTCGAACTCGTCGCAGTTTAGTCTTCTTTGTTCCTTGTGTTGACAGTTGATTTATTTTAAAAAACTTATTTTAAAATACCAACACAATTACTTGTGCGCGTTAAAATGGTAAAGAGACAACGTTCAATTGTGATCTCATGATGCACCGCGAGACAAACTTTCAAATAAATGTCACTGACGCGTCCAGATATCGCAAAAGACGCGCAACTCTTAATAATTTCTGAATGAAAAAAATACGGGACAACGATATTAATAAAAAATGAGCTCTGTTAATTTGGACGCGTCAAACACGGAAAGAATTCTTTTGCTACTCGAGGAACTGTGCGATCTATCCTATCCTGAAGTGCAGCAAAAGTTAAACAAATATGTAAGTGATACTGTCATTAGTTTTCGCGGCACGTATGCAC